CACACACACACACACAAGGAACACCACTGGAACTCTGCAAAAAATAATAATTTAAAACCATTCCTGGCCACAAGAGTTCTTAAAAAAAGAAACTTGTCAGCTTTCTCATGACTAACATACAATAATTGAAAAAAATAAATATCCAAATTAAAACACCAACTAAGATAAGTATACTTTTGTAATTTTGTATATCTGATAACACAGGTAAGGGCTTTTTCTGAAAGAAAAGAGCGCACTTGGATCACTTTGAGAAGGGCTACCATGTAAGTTATTGAAGGGATGGAGGGAGAGGCAGAGCGCACAACCACACCTATTGTTGATAAAATGTCGGGGCAGGGGGAGCAAGAATTTAAAGAATTTCAGTACAGCACATGCTAGAAACACCATGACTCACACAGTGGGAAGAAGATAAAATAGAGGGGGGGGGGTGGTAATGAAAACAAAATGGGAAAGGAAAGAGGAAAGGGAAAGGAAGGGGAGAAAATTCACCATAAAAGGCATCTAAAAGTCAAAAACATGGTTTCAAATACACTGGTCATCTCAAAGTCAGCATTTTACTTCTATTTAGCATATTATCATAGTCATATTCCACTATTCCAATATTCCAAATAAGAAGATAAAAATAAATAAGTAAACTGAAGTTGCAGGAATGCAGCAATACTATAGTTCCTTCGCTTCGTTTTACCACTCATTACCAGGTTTTCTCTGAAGCATGTAACATTCCTTACATAATAAAGAATGACAGGAGCAACAGGAAAATAAACTACTGCTTTATTTTAAAAGCATGCTAGTACTTTTAACCTGTGCTTCATTTAATTTGATTAGTAACAGCATACATATTTTTACATTTTCAAGAACTCCTGCAAGGCAAAAAGGCATTAGTTGATGTGATATTCATTTAGCTACCAAGAAAGAAATATTTCTATTAAAAAGCTGCAGCTGCATAAACCCTGAATAAAAACTTTGTGCACAAGACCTTGTCCAGTTCTCAGTACTGAAGTACATTAGCTAAACAAATGAGCATGAACTACATTAAAAGGAAGTTTTTATGCCTGTTGAAGTTAATACCTTTGTTATATCACCATGAACTTACAATAAAATTTCCCTGACTGTCATAAATGTGAATCTCTCCATTTGCCATTCCAAAGAGTAAAACTTTGCTATTGGAGGACCAGGCCACATGGCACAGGTGGGTACCTTTCAAGTCTTTTGCCCAGATGCGATTGCCTGTAACAGAACATGGATTGTACTTAATAAACATACCACAAAATTAAAAATAGGATGCAAGTTACCAATATAAAAACTGAAACAGCTAAAGAAAGCCAAAGCAACAATTAGAAAGTAACTATTAATTGTACTTATCTAGAGAAACAGAGCCACTATGTACATAACACTGAAAAAAGCTATGTAATACCATTACAATTAGTAGAGTCTAAATTTTACCATCCACTGATCCAACAATCACAGCTCCATCTTCATATACAATACAAATCTTCTGCCCATCAGCATTCCAGCTCATACTTCGAACAACAGATTTATTTCTATTGTTAACCATCTCCTCATACCAAGCACCTATTAGTAGTGAATGAAAAACTGAGTTATACTTCTGATTTGGTAATTCTCTACTGGATTCAAAGTACATACTAATCACTGAATTAAAAGAGAAAATTTTATCACCATTAAATATCAAATAATGTCTCAATTTAAAAGATATGCAAATAGGATGATAATGATATTTCTCGGCAATATGAATTCCTGAAGTTGTTAAAAAAGAAACCAAATAAAACATAATACAGCCCCACAAAAACTTTATAAAAGTCACCAAGCAATCAAATTAGGTGTTCATTGAAACGGAGAAACTTGAGAATGGTCTGCTTCTAAGTAAACATAAGATAATACGTTATATATGACTCTGCAATGTAGTACACAACAAAAAGATACAGAAGCAATTAATTTTCAAAAGGAATCAAAACCAAAGTTGTTCCACCCTTTCTGTAAAACTCCAGCAAGACTACACTACAGCTTCCCCCAGACTACACAGTTACTAACTGTGAAATCCAGTGTTTAGATGTGAGCTACTGATTTCCAAAAAGACTCTGACAAATGAGGATTCAGAGAGGGGAGTCCCCAGGAGGGGCCCTACAGGAAGAGATCTATGCTTACATAATTTCAGAACTGATAAGAATACACGAGGAAAGACCATCTTTGATAGCAATATGGATTAAGTAATTTACTGGTTCTTGTCCAAAACTAAGAGATTATTGATATGACAGTAGCCACCACATATCAGGCAGAAAGACTAATCAAGTGATATTTGTTATTTGTGAAATGAGAAGCTCAGCTGAGATTTTACTTGTTTCCATTTTTCATTAAGCAAAAATCCCCACGAGAAAAATTTCTTTTTCTTTCCCATGTGTGTTGGAAAGTGGATAATAGGACTGTGAGGTTTGCTGGCTTTCAAATGAATTTAAATGTACCAAAGAAGTACATGTTTGTGTAAAAAGGTCAAGAACAATAAAAGCCAATAATAGCAACACACTGGTTAGTCATATTATTTCACTGCCTTAATGAAACATTTCTAACGATTGTTTTATGAAAGTATTTAATTGATGTTATAAACAGGGTTGCTAAGTTTTTGTAGTTCTACCCTTATGTCTGTGCTTGAAGCACTGTGCAGAACTATTTAAATATTACAATGATATCAAAAAGGAACCTACACAAAGAAGCACTTCTTCTTGTTGTTCAATACACTGTTTACCTTGAAGGAAATAAAGTAACAGAGATAAGAAAATAAGAAATCTAGAGCAGCTTATCTTCTCCTAAGGTATAGCCCTGCAGGACAGATGTCTTTTTACATGCAACTATACCAAAAAAAATTTAGATAAATATTAAAATAAAAACTTGAAAATGTTTTAAATCTATTCCGAGCTTTGCAGTCTGCAAAATAAGAAGTCTGAAAAAGAACTGTAAAATTACTTTAAAAATTAAAAAATATTTCTCATAACACAGACTATGATCCCATGACAAATCTGTCCTGCAGAATACCTTTATACAGCATCCACACGATGATGAGTCCATTTTGATCACTGGTCGTCAGTTTTTGATACTGTTCATTCCATGTCACCACTTGCACAGAACCTAGAAAATTACACATATTTTTTACCTACACCATTTAAATAAGATAATAAGAACCACCACGTTCAACAACCAACCCAGAGCTTTTCAGAAATTTGCACTGCTGACTTTGATTTGTTTTAGGCATTCTTTCTGTATCACTCATTTCCTCTTTCAAAACTCTGCTAAATAGTTCCTTTTGCTTCTGCATTCACCTCCTCGAGTAACATCCTCTCCAAATTCTGCTCAGAATATTCCTTCAATACACAAACCCCAAATCATAGTTTTGCAGTTTCTGACTGCCCCTGACATGTTAGTCTGGGAAACTGACTACATTTTATTGTCATAAGAAGTTTGGGGTTTTTCTTCCTCTTAGTAATTTTGAAAAAGGGATTAAAGAAATCTTGGGAAACATTGTATTACTTATCACTTACTAAATGTGCTGCTAATTGTGTGGAGTGGGTGGAGCGAGAAGTCTTGAGTTACTGAAAAGAACCAGAGAGTGGTCTCAAGAACCAGCTAAACCCAACCCCCCGGATTGAGCAAGAACCAGAGAACAACTGAGTCTGCACACAAGCAAGGGTTACTAGCGGTCACGAAAAAAGGCTCTCCACCACGACCACCAGAAGGTACTGCACAAGCGCAGTTAGGAGGAGATTATGAAAATGACTTCCTGGAACTAATCTTAATATGAAGCGAGCGGGGATAAGTCATGCATATGTATAGGCATATTGGGAAATCTTATGTATATGTAACATTTTACCGCATATAACCTCGGCGAGCGGCGGCACTCGGTGCACAAGGTTTTAAGAAAGAGCTGCCTTGCTGCCCACCGGTGAATAAACATACCTACTTTACAATCGTACGGATTGTGGGGTCTGCTTTGTATCCGCACGTCAGCTTGATCCTCAGTAATGCTGCACTTTTAAAACAGAATCTCCCTCCTGATTACCAATAAGAGCACTCTACACACAATTCCTTCAGACCCTCAAGTATCACATGGGATACTACTCATAAACATTTGCCTTGACTTGAAACATCTTCAAGCCGTTTCTAAGCAGCATCTTATTTCATCAGTTCAACACTGGGCATGAACTTGGCCACTTCAAGCATCACACTCCCTCGTGCCATCACCACTAGTGATCCATTTCCTCTGTATCCTCTCCATTTTTCAGCATTTCAGTCATGAAGTTTATCAACAGATGCAATGAAATATCCTCTGAATATTAGGGATTTCTGAAGGTAACAGTAATTTATTTCAGTATTGAAGACTTACATTCAAAGTATCCACTAAATCAATTCCTCACAATTCATTTCTTCATTCACATTTAACCAGACCCCTAAAATAATCTGACTGTTGGCAGGTTTCAACTGCAAATCCTCGTAAAAAGACAATTTCTTCAAATAATGTAAAGATTTTAGCATTCTCTTCACATCCCATCGTCCATGAATGATGACCATATAACATTTCTCACATTAGAGTTTAATTCCTCCCTAACTTCCCTGCATTCAGTTTTTACTTTCACACACGATCCTTCTCTAGCCTGTTTTCTAACCTTTCTAAACTCTTTTTGCATACTAAACTGCAGTCTACAAATATACACGGTTTGGAACTACTCAAAAGGCAAAATTAATATATATTTAAGATAGACATTAGGTTTACGGAACTAACTTTGATTTCTTCAGAAAAAAATGTAAAGCTACCATAACGTATATGCAAATCTCATAGACACTATCAAAAAACAGGCTTACCCACAAGTATGTCACTAGAAAAAATGCTTAAGGCTGCTTTTAGTCTCATTTCTGACTTTAGCCTATCATACCGAGTTTAAAAACTTATATATACAGTGAAAGAGAAAATTGTTCTTCTTTTTTTTTCTTTTAGCACAGTAGAACATCACTGTTTCTTTAACTCAGCAATTCCAGCATCAACTGCCCATCAACTTAGCTTTTCTCATTTGTCATAAAGCATTCTTATCTGTCATCTGCCAAGGCAGTATGCGAACAAATGTATGGGAGCAAATGTATCGTGATCTTTTATGTAAACAGCTAAAAATATATTCCAGTCCCACGCAACTGATTAGAACTTCCAGATTAGCCATGCTGAAGTTGGAGATAAGTACTCTACCAGTAGCACTGCACAATTAAAGAAGACAAGTAAAACCCAGTAACTCACTCACAGACCATGAAAGATTGATCGTAGGCCTTTTATCAAACAACCTGGTAAAAATAAGTAGCCAAGCTGCTACATACCTGAGTTGAATACAATAATCTTTACTTCAGGCTCATAAGAAGAAGTTATAGGAAAATTACTCTATCAACTTCACAAAATCTTGTCATTTTCATATTCTAACCTAAGTACATTAAATGCCAAAAGACACTTACCACTGTGACCTTCAAGAGTCTGATTCACAGAAAGACTGCTAGGAGCTGCAAGTCCCTTTATTTTTGCTTCATCTAAAAATAACAAAAATAGCTATAAAAGATACCTAATAAAACATATTGTGTCTCTATCAATACTGCAGCTTTAATCACTATTTACCTAGATAAAACTATTCACCTAAAAGTACGTAACTGCAGGATGAATTTCCCACCCCTCTGTTCAATGTGTTTGCTTTTCACATCTGCCATCCATATGCACATACTCTAGCAGTTTTTCAGGAGAAAAACAACAAACAAAAAACCCCCACACCACCAGCAAAAAACATGGCTATCACCTTTCATTACATTCAGAAAAAGGTTTAAAAGAACTACAAAATACATTAGATTTTACTTTTCTTAGAACGTATTTAATAAAAACACACAACCTTAGGGAGAAAGTAATGAAGATGGCGGAGATTATTCAAATAAAATCAAAAATTAATTAAATAAATTCCAAAATAAACTGGAAGCCTGTACAAAAAGAACAAGAATGAAATGTATAACCTGAAAAAAAGCAGCACTGAAGAAAACTTCAGCAAGGACAACAGGTAAACAAAGTGCATGTGTGCCGTGTAAAACAAGCTGGCAGAAAACAGTGTAAAAAGAAAGTGACAGCACATTTGATGTTTATGCAGATACATAACTATCTACGTACAGACTCAAAACATGTGCAATACTGTCAAGTAACCTGTGGAAGGAGTAACAAATTCTGAAGTGTGGTGGATTTTGTTGTTTAAAAAAAAGATCTCATTTACCTGTCTGTGTTTCTAATTTTAAAACTTTCAGTAATCCATCCTCTCCACCACAGGCTACGAAACCTTGATCCTTATTCCAGGAAATACATCTTAATCGAACATTGCCAGGAATCGCAATCTGAAAAATAAATATTTTTTAATCTCTGCTTAGTTCTAAAAATCATGTTTTATTTTAAAATACTCTATTTGAACATCTCAAAGACACCTATGATACACAAGATAAACTTATTTCTATCAACAAGTGAGTACCTGCAAAAAGCGACAGAAGACAATTAGAATTACAAGCACTAGTGAAACTGCGCAACACAACACCTGAGGAAAGGGAAATCTAACACATGCAGTAAACAGTAATAACACAGCATCTTCAGAGGTGTGCAGAGGGCGCCATGAGCAACAAAACAGGTGAACGGGATCACACAGGGCACAGGGCTTCGCCACAAGCTGGTCCCCTGCTGAAGAGCTGTCTCCAGCTGAAGACCAGAGAAACCCCAAGCCCCAAACCCAGGCCGGGAGGGAGCGGGCAGGGTAGCGCAGGGCAGCGCCAGCAGAGCCGCAGCGGCCGCACGCAGCGGGAGGGAGCCTCGAGGGTCCCCTGAGCGCCCCGAGGCCTCCGCGCTTCCCAGACTCCGGGGTGGAGAGACGTGGAACCTCCACCTGCCCCGCGGGCTGCCTGCCCCC